AAGCGCGGCGAGTGAGCGTGCGCCACGGTAAAGGATCAAGATCCCATCGCCCGTTTCCCCCGCGATGTGGCGTCGTCAATGCGCGATTTAACGGTACATCGCTAAAAAGCGCGTTCGCGCTCTTCCTCCTCGAGCGGAAGTCGCACCGTTCGTAATCGCATTTGTCAGTTCTTTTCAACGTCGTCGACGGCAATTTTCGTTCACTGTCGTAAACACAAATGACGTAATAGGAATTTTTTTTAAGTATCTAACTTAAAATCGATAATGAACTGTTATTTAAATTTTTACAATTTAAATTGTAAAAATTTTACGATGAATAGAAATGGCGCTATATTTTTTTCCACAATGCAACGAGTGCAAGAAAAGTGGACAACATCATTCGTGTCATTTTCAACGTAGAGGAATGCCGTGGAACTCGGTCTGACTTGTTTAAAGATTTGAAAAAAGTACGACGGATCGAACTCTGCCCGAGATCAATGTCGATCGCGTCGAATCGGTCGAAGCGCGATACGGTTCGCCGATTCGACATTGCGGAAGTTGCGAACGCAGCGCGATTACATGCCCCCCTTTTATTCGCTTAGTCACTTTCCGACTTTCTTCGAGTCTTACGCTGAGTTAGCCGCTGTAAAGCATAGTGATTTAAAGTTCGGTTAATTGAAGTTATTGCTGCATAAATATAAGGCTCGTTACATTCGTCGTACGACAAAGTTTTCAAGCGCGTCGATTGGCTGCAGGATAGAAAAGTTCCCGAGTATCTAGAAATCTTCTAGCCTGTAGCCAATCGACGCGCTTAAAAAATTTGTCGCACGACAAATGTAATAGTACCCTAGCGATGTTTTTTCAAAATAATAAATAAAAAGAATAAACGACGTAGGAAATCTTATAAAGTCGCCAGAAGTAATTAAAAAACTTGAGAGGATTGCTTGACCATGTCTGGCAAATTTTTATGTTCAAAATCACGACGTTTCGACCATTGTTTGTAGTCCTTCTCAAGTGTTAAATTTGCCAGTAAATCAGTACGGTGAAGCAAAGGAGCCGATCATGATTTCACGAACGACAGAACACGGCTGTTTAGAGAATAAATTTTATACGCGAAACATTTAGGAAATTTAAAGATGTGTAAATTGAATTGTTTTTTTATACGAGGCGGAATTCATAAAATATTATATATTTAGTGTATTATTTAAAATATCTTTCTGCGAAATACGTTCGAAATTATTCGGAGGAAATTTTCGATTTATTGACGCTTCTGCAGCGCGATCCGTCTTATATTTCATTCTGTCTTAACTATTATTACATGCCGACGGTTTTGTTTACAATATACTCGAATATAAAATCAACGCGGTAAAACTGCGATTATGTAACCTGATGCACACGAATCGCGGCATACGCAGTGCAGTGTAAAAGCAAAATTAACTTTTCGTTAAATTTAAAAAAAAACGTACGCAAGTCGAGGTGTGGCCACAACACGTATGAAGGCTAAGCACTCCGAGATGCATTCGTGTCAAGGTGTGATTAATTTTTTTTATAATATTATAACACAAGGTGTGATTCATATCCGTGTCATATCGATAGGGCCGTGCGACGATGCGAGCGATTCGTGATTCCGTCGGGACGGCGCGTTCCACGGATTGCAACACGTTGAGGGGCGCATCCGTCAACGCCGATGATAGTTACGACAATGCAGGAAGCGACGGTGGCAAACAACTTAGCACGTGAAAAATCGCGGCTTTTTGCTTATACGCCAAGTCCGCGAATTTACGTACGTTACGATGCCTCTGCTACGCAAAGTACAATTCCAAACGCAGTTTCCTACGGTCGGATTGCACGCGTACGGAAAAAAAAGAATATTCTTCTTTTGAAAATATGTTCGGCTTTAACGTGAAAATCTTGAAACGAGATTATATTGCGTTGGAGGAAGGAAAACTTACTTAAATGGAGCAATTTTTTATAATTCAATCCGGAAAAATACGTGCTTATTATTTAAGAATAATTTTCTTGAATGGAAAGGAAAGCGTATATTGGATAGAAAATAACATATTTTCAAATAGAAGATTATAATAATAAACAATTATTGTCAAAATAATCATATCTATTCTCCAAGTGACAATTATAGTATTTAAACAAGACTATTTTTTTTTCCACGATTTTCTTTGCCCATAGACAAATTTTAATAATCTCGCACTTGAAAGTCCGTCCCTCTACTCTGTTGCGATCTGGAGCAAAAGTTCGTGCGACGTTCCCACCAACCTCGGCGAAACCGATTGCGTAACGTATCGGCGATCGCGTGTAATCTGTCGGAGAAAACGCGGCGAAAAAGGGGATTTATGGCAGAATTTCGGGGTGATTTTCCTTGTTTTCTTCGGGGACGTCGCGCTGATCAGATAAAACAGCATCGACCATCACGGTCATCCGACTGGACACGGGGATTAATATTTATCGGGCATCCTTGTACCACGCGAGAATCAGTCGCGCCGAGATATCGCACGCTCTCCTCCATTGGGGAATAATCACGAAGTGGATGTTCCGCGCGGGAGGACACGATTCTCGATTCGGGCACGGAGTCTCGCGAGACGAGATAAATGAGATTGCGAGCCGATGTTTCGGCGAGGCAGGTATCAGTTTCGCTCTCAGGTGCCCCGTCGCCGAACGGAAGCGAACGCGGAAGCGGCGGCCGCGCAGAGCGCTTTTTCGCGCATTCCGCGTCGACACGCCGCCAGCGCGGACGCAATTGTGATTTGTAATTAGCGAAGCGTGCAATTGTGAAATCGTGTCGCGGTGTTATTGACCCGACGGGGACGCCGACGAGCTGACACCTCGTTGCACCTCGAAAATCAATCCCAGTCCGGCAGAACTTGTCTCGTTACCAGTCGCCGGTTTCTACTTAAACAGTTCCGCGCGGAACGGACAACTTGGGATTGCTGGTGCGAATGGCACCGCGATCATTTACATGAAACTCGCCCTTTGAGCGAAGAGCGAGTACATTGTACGGACGATCCGAATAGAAATCACTCGGGCAATTGTTCTTCATTAATGCATCATATATTTTATTCTATAACTACGATGTGTATACACAGGGAACTAATGTCACAAAATTGCATCTCATCGGATGTCTTAGGGTTGCTTTCCAGCAACGTACACAGGCGACACTGTGTATCACAGTGAATCGCTTTATCTTTGTTGTTTACCATTATTGAACGAGAATAAAACGATATACAGGGTGTCCTAGGAAGATCAATATTTTGAGAGATGATAGTATCGGTCATTTTAAGTGAAAATGTTCATATGAATGTATGTCCCATTCCCCACTGTCGAGATGGAGTTACTTGAATGTGTCGTGTATTCACTTGTTTTCTATACACTTAACCCTTCGTCCTACCTCATAAACGTCTGCGGAAGGAAAACAGAAGAACAGTGAATACACGAGACGAATTGCTCGCTCAAATAATGGATGTTAGTGTCCGTATAAAGGAACGTCACGATGTAGTCAGACGAGCAACACGCCATGTTCACACAAGAGTTTAAAAATGCATTGTTGTTAACGGTGGAATTTTTGAAAATTTATGATCTGTAAAAAATGTATCACTTGAACAATAAATATTAGAAGCAGTACGTAGCATTTCTTTCTTGTCGGTAATTTTGCAACTGTACATTCAAGTAGCTCTATCTCGGAAACAGTGGGGAATGGGACATGTATTCATACGAACATTTTTGCTTAAAACGACCGATACTATCACCTCCCAGAATATTGACCTTTCCTCCTGGGACACCCTGCATATTATTTATTTAATAGATTATACCCAACGCTTTGACCGATTGTGGTCACGTTCACGAGTGTATCAACAAGGCACGGTGTATCTGTAAAATCAGGTGAACACATTTCTTGTAATGTAACCGATTACACGTAAAAAGAAACCGAAAAGAGAGAAGAAAAAAGAAATGCGCAACTAACCTAAGTCAAATCATAAAAGTGCAGCGAACGTCCACCGCTAAGGCATCGGTCACCAGCTCTCTAGAAGTCAATCGGTAGATTATCACTGAAAACAGTGAATAGTCACTGATTTACAGTAACAAGTATACCACTGCAATTTTCAGTAGTATATTTATAACTGCGAATCAGTGACTATTCACTGTTTTCAGTGATAATTCGCGGAGTGACTTTTAGAGAGAGAGAATTCCGTGGTACATAGCACGTCTGTATGGCAAAACGGTTAACAGTAGGACTGAAGTCGAAGGACAATTACAGAGAAGCCAAGTGGCATGTAAGAAAAATTGGATAATAAATGATAAAAATACAAACAAAAAGCCAGACGTTAAAATTCAATTTTTCAACGTCAATGCTATTGTGAGGATAAAATGATTCTCTGTGTCAATCTGTGTCTCTTGCTGGAAAGCATCCTTAATGAACTTCGAAATTTGGCCTGCGTTATTTATTTAAAATCATTTCCCTCGGTGACCAAACGTGTAACAATAATATATTCTACATAATGTTTATTCGTTTTTTCCCCCATTGTCTTCTCGCCGATAATACTGTGATTATTAAGTGTCATGTACTCATTACTACCGTGTGTAATATAACAACCGTCTGAAATATAGTCATTTATAATTCGCGGTAAGATCGTGTTTCAACGAACGCACAGTATTCAAATTTGTCGGGATGAATTTTGTTATGTCGGTCAATGATTCAGATTTCATGGTAGAGAAAGTTTCGTTTCATTGCTGTAAATATAATTTGACGCTACCAAAGTCGCACACAAGTGTTCTTCGTGTGAACTGTCATACGAGGAAGCAACGTGTCTTTTGTAAAAACTTTAATTTCGATGTGCGCGCGCGCGCGCGCGCGATTAAATTTCTAATATAATTTCCGTTCCCCGCTCCGTTGTTCTTACTTCGCCGGACTCGGGCAGAGCCGCGCGAGCAGCGCTGTAGTCAGAATCACGATCGTAAGAGCGAAAATGGTCCTACCTTGGAGGACACTCATCTTCGCGCACACGGAAGAGTGCCGACCTTGGAGAACACTCATCTTCGCGCACATGATATTGTCGTGCTGCGGTGATTCAGAGCAAAGTCAAGCGAACTACGGAAACTCTCTGGGCAGCCGACGCCTCGTGCCAACTCCAATCACAGTCACGCACCAATCTGCGATCCATGCGGCACTTCCAATTCTTTGTTCAAGGATTCGCACGGCTTCGCAAGACGGATATTCCGCGCGTGCCCTTCGACCGTTTTTTGCGCACTTCGCCACTGCCTCGACGTAGTCATCTGTCCAAAGTTTAGAGTCGAAACGGAGCACGACAGGCTACCAGGTGGTTGAACCGACGTGGATCACTTGGAGAGAACGATTGACGATTCCGGACACGGCGAATATCACGTGCGAGACTTCCGCGAGCGCGACACGCCGCGAGGTAGAGGTGGCCCCGCAGGTCCGGAAGAGGACGGCGCGCGGAGAAGCGCGATGTGAACGCGTCGCGCGGCCCAAACTTTTTGGGGCAGCCGGTCGCGAGAGCGTGCGGGCCATGCGATCCGCCAAAGTCGTGGATCCGCCGCCGCGGGTCCGGTAGTGGTGGTACCGGTGACCTCGATACCAACCGAGGCCCTCCAATCCCAACGCCCAATGCCAAAAAACTGACACGCGTCCGTGCGTGCGTGCGTGTACACGCGAGGAACTTTCACTCTCTCGAGCGCTCCTCGCGACGCGAGAAACGACGGTCCTTCGGGAGGGTCGTTTAAGCTTTTCACGAGTTTTTGCTAGAACGGGGGAAGTGAAAATTTGGCCGATGATTAGATCGATTTACGAGCGACATTATCTCTCTTTATGCGAACGACGCTAACGGCATAAACGGGAATAAAAACCCCATGCGCGGGACTTTCTCTTCTTTCGGGACCGACATCGATGAATCACGTTGTCGACGCTTCGAACATTTAAGAGGACGCGGTGTTGATCGGTGAATGTTGAAAAAAGGTGGAGATTTGAAATGATAAAGTTACGTTTGAAAAATCTGGAAAATTTCATTGTCGCACGTCAGATCGTAGGGGAAAAAAGAAGTATGTCTCTTTTAAAAAGAGGTATTTGAAACAGAGAGATAAAAATATCGGAATTATTTAACCGATTAACCGCGAAACAGTACGATTTTTCATTTATATGTGACGTAATATATCTAGTACGTATAATATATTTAATGAAAACGCGGATCTTGAAGAACGGATAGGGTATCTTAATTTTTATTTTTAAAGCGATGATCTCACCTAGAATTATAAGAAAACAGTAAATGCAGTTCTTCACGATTATCGTCTTTTACATCATCGGCTGATGAATGAGAACGACATAGTCCGGCGACAAATTCATACGTTATTGGAAACACCTGAAAAGAACGAAGGTCGAGGAGATGGCAGAATCGCGATAAAACTTCCGTCAAGATAAAGTTATGCCGAGAAACCGGTAATTTTACGATTGCGACTCTTTGCCAAATCATCGATCAATATAGGTACGATTGACTCTTACATTTTTACATCCCTTTTATTTCGCCGCGATCTCAGAAGGTGTGGAGACGCTCGCCTTGTAAAGTGGATTCCTTGCCCAAATACATTTACAAATTTGGATATAATTAAAATTTATTCCGCAAAGCCCATAGTCGTAGAATCTCAATACTTTCGATATCGACGTACTCGCTCTCTAAAAGTCAATCTGTGGATTATCACTGAAAACAGTGAATCAGTGAACATTCTAATTGACTTTCAGACAGCACGAGTCGATAATCTCGCGTATCTACACGGAGAGAATTTTCTCTTAAAATTTACCTTGAAAATCGTGGGACAACGTGGCGTTTCAAGAACTTTATGAGAGGTTTCTGAAATTTTACCATACATTTTTACTTTAGTAAAATGTTATTTGAGTAAGGTAATGTCATACTGTTTGGATACACAATGTTTCCATACATCGTGCAAACGATCGCGCGGCCTGAATCCCGAGCATAGAGAGCCAAATTCCGAATATGGAAACAACGCTCGCGACGAGTACTTTCGAGTCAATTTTTTTCTTATTGCGATTTCACTCTCGATGGCGCGGCTCTTACGCGATAATCGACCGTGCGGCGTCCCCGTCCTCGCGGAAGATGGTCCATCGTGACTCCGAGTGAAAGAGAGACACGTGCAGCCGGACCGCCGGGTGTTTCACTTTTAACCGATAAGAAAGTAACGAAAGTCACTGATGAAAGTTTCGGGCTTGCCCACGGTGAGTGCGGAAGGCAGGAGGCAGCGATGGCGACCTAGATGGACGGACGGACGGACGCTTCTTTGAAAGTAAAAGTAGAAGAACAGGACTTTACGCTATCCCGCCGTCGCTGACAAATCGTCTTTGTATTTTAATTCTTCTCGTCGGGTCTTATATATTAACATTATTTACCGAGTTAATGTGAAATTGATAGTCCATTAAGTGATTAAGGAAATTAAAGAACAAATTTTAAAACGTACTCTTATAAAGTTTACATCGATATATATATTTTTTTTTATTTAAATAATATTCATCATTATGCCCAATCTTTGCTTTGATTACTGTTTTACGAACTTGCATTTGTTGAATTCACTTCGTCATCGTTTCTGATATTTTAACTAGTGCTTTTTGTAGTTTCTTCCATGGGTCCTCTTTGTGTTTACACCCAGTAAAAAGTTTCCTTGAAATGAAACAAGTTTTCTTTGAATTTTTACCTTACTAGACTCTTATTTAATTTCAAAGGAATCATTTCTTTACCTTAACCGAAATGTTATTTGATTGAGGCTGAAATTTCTAAGAAAACTCATATCTATTTCTTCAAATCTAGTAAATGCTTCAGTAGAAGTAAATAAAAATTTAGTACATTCAAAGAAACGTGATTCCAACGTATCTCATCTGTTTAACCTAAATAAATCTTTTTTTCTGTGTGTAGGAAATATAAATTTTAATAAATAAAATAATAGTGATAACAATACAATATCGACTTTAGGATAATTGGAGATAGTTCGTTGTGTGTTTCAATAATTTAATATGCATGTAATTACGATCGATATACTATAAAAACGGTTAATTATTCTAATAAAGTCTGTGCTGACAACAGTATGGGACATCAGAGTAAAATATAAAATATCTATCGTTGGAATAATTATGAGCGGTAGTGTATAAGTGTAGGTATATATACAATTCAGTTCACATAATTATCACTGCATCGTAATGCCGGTACGTCACATACTGTGGTCACTGTGCTTTTAATTGCTGTTTAATTACAGAGGGTTTATTCTAGAATATAACAAATATCCTCTCTTTTTTCTCTCCTCGGTTTCGGTTTGCTCTTTCTCGCGCTGCACTCGTGCAGATACCGGTTTTCGGCGAAACGACACCATCTTACAGGAAGATCGAACTCGGTGAAAACCGTGTCCTTCGAGGAACAGGGTTACATTACGTCACACACGCGCGGATCTTTATTGCCGTGCAATTCGTGCGAATATACCGGCTCCGGTACCACGAGATGGGCCCGTGAAATTCTTGAAGGTGGGGATCTCTGCACATGCAAACCAAGCGAGTACCAAACCGGACACCAATCGCGCATTTTCTTCTTTCGAAGGAGTCAAAATTCGTAAGAGCTAAAAAATATATAGTTTTTTTTACAAATACACGTCGTTTATAAATTTTTTTTTACAAAATTTTAAACCGGTTTATTTCATTCTGACGTCGAATGTTCATTAGCCGCATTTTTTTCGATATTACGATCTTTAATAAAAAATGTATTAACGATATAATATAGTATTACTAATATATTAATATATATTAGTAATTAATATATTAAAATAATAGCAATTAATTAATTTTAAAGATTTAATAATCTAGAATATGCAGTCGATAAGATATATTTATGAAATATGAATCGCGCTACAGTATCACTTCGATATTATGTATACGCTATATCACATAGTTGCATGATGAGATAAAAAGTTAATAATTATTCGAGAACATAATGTTTCAAGGACTTTCGCCGAAACCTGTTTTCAACATGACATTACGAAACTTCAGATGTGAAGAATCTTTTGAATAGCGTTTAGCTATCTATTGTTACAGCGGTACAAAAAGATTACATAACAAATTAGCACTCTGATAATAAAATTAATAATAAATCGTCCGCATACGTAAAGGCAGACTCGGATCGATATTTCCCAGGATTGTGCTAGAACATTTTCTGAACTAGAATATTTCTAATTATACGATATCATAGTTTCGTTTCTTTATCCTTTGCGTTCCTACGTGTTTTCGTCAAGTGTACGACAAGATTTAGTCGCGCTAAGAATTAAAAATTTCGTCTATTGTACATTATTTAATTCTTCCAAGTGTTTCCATCTTTCAAAAAAATTATCTTGCAGCTGACTGTGAGATATAAATGAATAGCCAATACTGCGAAATCGCATATGTTATGTATTTAATCGATTTAAATGATAGGAACAGAATTTCTATCTAAACTGTTAGCGAACGTTAGGAAGAAAGTCTTTCTGTGACATCCGTACGTTATAACGTTTGATTATGATACATAAATAGTTATATTCTTTACAAAGATTGTTCTAGATACCGAAATTCATTTTTATTCAATGTGAATGATTAATAACAAGATAAGAAGGGATATAAAGGGAGTTTAAAATAAAGTGCTCGTTGAAAATCCTAAACCAATGTAAGACTAAAAACAGGCCAATAAATAAAAACAAAAACGAGCACTTTGAAAGACGGAATACTAATACATTGAACGTATATTGAAAAATCATACAAATATTAATATAATACAGAGGAAAGTTCTGTATTATGAGATAGGCTTCTAATATAAGACAGTAGGTTTTCAACGTGTAAATCCAATCACAAATCTTTTTTCGCAACGATTACATGATCTAATAATCAATTTTCCACTGAACAGATTTCACTCGAAGGGCAATAAATTCACGGTGGAACCAACAGATGATGCCTATTGATTTAGCAGAAACCCTGCTACCTCATATTAGGAGCCTATTTCATAACAGGGGACCTTC